CACACATACATACATACATACATACACATACACATTGCTTACTGGTGTACACCGCTTAGAGAGTGCTTGTACTTAAAGCGGTATATAAGTCTCATAAATAAAATAAATAAATAAACATTGTTATGTTCTTCAAAGTTAAGGCGAATAGATCCTAGCTCTGTTTACAAAATGCCTTAAGATTGGAGGTGCATCAAAGCTAGGATCTCCAGGCCAAATCACAAGTGCCTAATAGACCCAGAATAGCAAGCACTTAGTGGCAAAATTCAAGACCTCTCATCTGCTGCATTGCTTGTTTAAAACATATTTTATTAGGAGGTAAAGAGCTGGATATACAAATTGCAAAGTACAGTTGGGGATGCTCATTGCTCTACTGCAGGGGTGTCAAACTCGCCATGTCACGTGACATGTCACAACGTATCGCAACTTTTTTTTCATTGCCAGCTATCGAGTAGGTGCAGTTTCGGCATGATGCATCCGGCCCGTGGGCCAGCCAGCAGTTTGACACCCCTGCTCTTACTGTGTTAAGAGGCGCTGTATTCACCAATTACAATGCTTTTTCACATCCTGCCCTGAGAGACATATAAAACAATCTAAATACTGAGACTCAGGAAAATGGGAAAAAGATCAAGATGTCTGAATTCTGGATTTCTCAATCTTCTGATTTATGCAAGCATGCATAAAATCTGCCTTACATATTGTTCCTACTTATGCCACAGAACTAGTAAAGGAGCATTTTGGAAAGAAAATATTCTATTTTGTTCCTGAACACTATTTACATTGGTTTTGTCCTATCCCTATGTGATACATCTCTCCTTATTGGCCAGCATATCCATGTTATCTCTAGATACTTGTTATCTCTAGATGTTCCCATTGCCATTTGCAATATAGATATATCTAGGATTCCTTGATACAAGACATCACCTGTTGTGATGTCTAGGCTCCAATTTAACTTCTTTTGCCAATAGTTCTTTAGTCCCACAAAATCAAGCTGTAAACAGAAGCTAAAAACCTCTTTGCTAGTTTCCTCATTTGATTTATTTTTCTCTAATGTGTATGACATCACTTATTCCAAAAACAATTAGCCTGAAAAATATAGCATAAGTGTTTATAAGAATTTTTTTCAATAAAATGGAGCTTATTTCCAAGAAATATCCATAGCTGTCAAAAGGGGGGGGGAACTAACACCATTAAGCCCAAGGCTTAAAATCATCTATTTGTCAAATAGATGTTTTAAGATAGAGAAGCCACATGCTAATTTAGAAGACTTCAAGTTCTGAGCTGTTGCCAAGTAAAAATATTAAGAAGAAATTGGGATCACAACCTAGAAAAAGGCCATGAGAAATACTGAGGGCTAGAATGCACCTCTCTGTGGAAAGTAGGTTAAGAATCCCCAACTTCCAGAGCCAAGGAGACAAAAGGAAAATCACAGAAGTGATAATACCTGCAAAGAAATTTCTATGTCACCCTATCTGTTAGCAAACAGATCACAGAGCAGAGACAGATGTGCTTTGTTATGTTTCTTTTCTTCCCTGTCTAGGCAATATGTCCTTTCATGCCAAAACTGAAATCAAAGGGGGAAAAAAAATTGCAGACAACCCAAACATTCTGAAAACTAGAATAACCCATTTGTCTGTGGAATACTTCGCACACAGTGCTTTGACTTGATCTCTGAGGAGAGTAAAAGATATGCTTTAATGGGTGTGATTACATACTGGAAGTGGCATTTCAATTTATTTCAGTGTAAGGGGAGACTTGAATTTTAAACCATATTATTATTAGATTTTACATTATTTTTATGTGCTTTCTGCCACAATGACAGAAAGTAGAGTGTTAATTTTTAAACCATTATGCCATGAAAACTAAGAAGTGTGCCAATTGTGCCTTTTTCTAGTTCAGGGGGCTCTGGTCACTCATGGCTTGACAAATGAAACACATTCTATTTGGGGATGCCCTTGAAGGCTGCACAGAAGCTTCAACTGGTCCAGAATGCAGTGATACAAGTAGTGACACATATCTCAGTATACCCATGTAATACCTTTGCTTTGAAAGCTGCACTTGTTCTATCTGCTTCAGAGTACTTCAGGGTCCGTTCTGCCTGATTAATTTGATCTGATATGGTTGGTGTCTGAGTTCCTTCAATTAAATAATGCCCTCTGTCAGGACCCTATAATCAGTCTCTTTAGAATAAGATTCCTATAGAATAAGATTCCCCTCCAGATCCCACTCCAGGGTTTTGAAGGAGCCTGAAGACCTAACTATTCACCCATGCCTTTGGTGAGGAGGATCTCCTTTTAACCAAGTTTATTATTCTACCATTTTTAACTTTTTGTTTCTTATTGTTTTTATTGTCTTGTTTTCAAAATTTAAATATTCTATAAATTGCCCAGAATTAAATAAATTTAATAAATAACAGTTTTGTCTTAGAGCTGAACTTCAGGCAATCTGAACTGTTTCTAAATTCTAGCTCTTTCTAGCAACAATTATGACTGAAGTATTTGGGCTCAGCAGGCTAACTGAACATTATATATGTCCAGTGACAATTGTGCAATTTACCTCTATTTAAATGATGGAATCCAAAGAAGGAAGCAAAATGCTTTTATTGATTTTAGACCTACCATCTAGATAGGTCTAACCCTTCATTACAAAATTAATAGTTATTGCTGCAGTAATAAATTGCAGGCTTCCCTAAAGCCTAGTGCTTTCTAGGTGTTTGTACAATTATTGTTAGAATTCTTAATCACACAGAAATCCCAGTCAGGTTGAAGGCAGCAACATCAAACACATAATATTGAAGACAAACATCACACACTGCACAATTTTGAGGTAAGCTACATTTGTTGTGAAATTATTAGCTGGAATTTAACTTTTATTATTAGCATGTTAATATTAGTATTTTAGCACGGCCTCTCAGTCTACTATGAAGTTTAGGAAACCACTGGACCATCTGTGATCTGTTGGTCATCATTTCAAAGGTATTTCCTTAGCAGATTTCTCAATGTCTTCAACAACAGCAGAGCTTCTAATATACTGCCTTCATAGGAAAAGTTGAAATTCTGGGAGATATTCATAGATATATCTGCTATGAAATTAGCCCACATTTACTGAATAGCACAATCACCAGGAGTTGACCACATCAGACATTTTATGACATTTTGTATTATTTCATAAAATGTTTTATAACAATTGCCAAATTCCAATTCCATGTAACTCATGATTTTGAATGCATTCTGTAAATTAGCCCATTTGAGGTCCTTTACTTCAAAAACTTGCTCTATGATGCTTTGTTTCACAGTTAAAGGTTACAAACACAAGAATTTTAATAATATGATAAACCATTTTTTCCTGTTAGCAAAAGCCATCTCCTTTGATGTGCAAAAACTACCTCTTTCAGGGACTCACAATTAAACATTCTGAAGTCCTTGATTGCTGCTAAAGGAATGGGAGAGGGGAGATGCAACATGTTTTAAGGGTTTTTATCTTTTCTCACATCTAATCTTTTATTGATTTGTTGCTCTGATGCATGACATGCTGTATATTGAATTGATCCATATTTTTTTCTGTACTTTATATGAAAATTTCACCCATCATTTCAATAAAATGCTTTTGGTTTTGCCTAAAGCATTTGTGGTCCACATAGGGGGTGTTTGAAAAAACCACTTTGCAAAGGAACTAAGTGTTTCTGTCAAATTCAAGAACTAGGTTCTTTACAGCTTGTCATTCCAATACTTGAGTTTTTTTAGTATGTTCCAGCAAATAAACTAAAAATGTCATTGTAGTTGCTGAATTATTTGTTCAAGTTAGCCTTGTTTGTATTATTTTGTACAATTCCTCTACAGAAGACTCTACATCTGATTAGTTAACTAGCCTTATGAAATTTGGAGACCACTTATCTCACTCTGAGTGACTTTCCCAAGTTTATTCCCACTACAACACTACGTTTTCATTCTATTGTTACTGTATAGTATATACAGAAATGTGCCATTAGATTCTGACTTACCTTTTCTGCCTAACTCAGCATTAACACATTAAAAGATCATCCGTTTCTTTTCCTGAGCCAAACTTATTTTTGAATTTTTTTAATCCACTTTAACAATGAATAGTTTTGTTTTGTTTGTTTCATATTAAGAACTTGTAACAAGGATGCCTACTAAAATACTCCAGACAAAATTGTTTTATTCAGTGAAAAGTGCGAACCAATCTTAATAAGCCCTTTCAAGCCCCGGATGTATCAGATGTTATTTATCAAAAATTTCGGCAAAAAAGGCTTTCTTTAACAATGATGATGATGTTGGAAAGAACCTTTCAAGTCTTTGAGTCCAACCCCCTGCTCAGGCAGGAAACCCTATACCATTTGAGACAAATGGCTGTCCAGTCTCTTCTAAAAAATTCCATTGTTGGAGCATTCACAACTTCTGGAGGCAGGTTAATTGTTCTGTCAGGAAGTTTCTTCTTAGTTCTAGGTTGCTTCTCTCCTTGATTAGTTTCCATCTGTTGCTTCTTGTCTTGCCTTCAGGTGCTTTGGAGAATAGCTTGACTCCCTCTTTTTTGTGGCAATCCCTGAGATATTGGAACACTGCTATCATGTCCCCCCTCATCCTTCTCTTCACTAAACTAGGCATACCCAATTCCAGCAACTGTTCCTTGTGTTATAGCTTCCAGACCCCTAATAATCTTTGTTGCTCTTCTCTGTACTCTTTCTAGAGCCTCAACATTTTTTTTACATCATGGTGACCAAAACTGGATGCAGAATTCCAAGTGTGGCCTTACCAAGGCATTGTAAAGTGGTATTAACACTTCATGTGATCTTGATTCTATCCCTGTTAATTCAGCCTAGCACTGTGTTGGGTTTTTTTGGCAGCGCAGCACTCTGCTGGCTTATATTTAAGTGATTGTCCACTAGGACTTCGAGATCCCTCTCACAGTTACTACTATTGAGCAAGGTAGCAACTCTTTTACTTTTTTCACCATTGAATTTCATTTTGTTAGATAGCGCCCACTGTTCAAGTCTGTCCAGGTCCTCCTGTATCTTAAGCCTGTCTTCTGGAGTGTTGGCTATTCCTGCCAGCTTGGTGTTAAGTCTGCAAATCTGATTAGTTCCCCATCTATTCCCCTCATCCGAATTATTGATGATGATTTATTCAGCATATGTTCAGAGGCTTTTTCCAGTATGTATGTATGTATGTATGTGTATGTGGATACACACACACACACACACACACACACAAAGAAACACGCACAAAGAAACACGGACAAAGCTAGTGCTTTTCGATGAAGAGGGACATTTTATGCTGTTTCCTCCCCCCTCCGCTTTTTTTTGTCTTCCGCTCTCACCTGAGGCAAAGTGAATTCCCCGGAACGTCAGAGATTGATTTTTACCACGCACGCGCTGGCCAGCCAACCTTTCCATTGTAACGTAAGCGCATTCATTCCCCCGGGACGAGGCGGGGGGGGAGCAGTGGCACAGCGAGCAAAACAAGAGATGACGATGGACTAAGCTCTTTAACTAGCGCTCACGGTAGGACTCGCGCCCATGCGCACGCAGGAAACGGACCGGGTGGGGGGAAAGCAGAAATCCCTGAAAAAGGAAGCTGAGGAAAGCCGCGCGTTCTCGCGCGAGAGCTTCTACGCAAGCGTATTCGTTATCTTCCTCAGGACTAGCCAGAGAGCGACGCTTTAGGAAAAACGAGTGGGGGGGGCGGGCGTAACGAGAGGTTGACTGACTGACTGCCTTGGTTGGCTGCGACGAGGGCCACGTAGCGCTGCGGCGGCGGCGGCCGGCGGCGGCAGCAGCAGCAGGGAGGGCGAGCGAAGGATAGGCAGAACCACGGCGGAGGTAGAGGCAGAGGAGCCAAGGCCTAGTCCTGAAAACAGGCGGCGGAGGGGGCTCTAACCAGGGGAGGGCAGGAAGGAAGGAGGGCCCTGACCGCCCTCTCCTTCCCCCTCCCCTCCCCCGTCTAAGCATGGATCGCGGCGGCGGCGGCGGCAGCAGCAGCGATGGAGCGGTGGAGGCGACAACGGCGGACGATCCCGGCCTGGGTGAGTTCGTGCAAGGAAAGAGGCCCAGTTGGCAAAAGGAGCAGGACTTGATGAGCCCCTGAACTTCGTTCGTTCATTTAGTTATCTCCCACTTTTCCAGGAAGTGCAGTGATACAGGTTTCCAGCACAATTAAAGTATATTTTGTCAAACGTACATATGAGCATGTACAAAGTAACTGATATTGATATGCTTTGGATATCAGGTAGGCATGATCATCTTGAAACTTACATTTGGAGCAATATTTCTTACAACCATCCTTCACTCTGCAGAAGTGGTGGTTATAGAGCTAATGAAAACGGTTATGAGCTTGATTACTTTGAAGACTTTTAAGTTGAAGTTTATTTGAAACACAAAATTTTGAAAAGTTGAGATAGAAGTTGGCTTTTTCTTTTTTTTTCTACATATAGAAAAAATATTTACTTTGACACTTCAAAAAGGATTGGATTTCACTACCTGAAATTTTTAGCTTTGAAATATCTGAAGAAGAGGAAGTAGTATCATGTGTATTTTGCATCCTTACATTAACAGTTCCTTTTTGTTTTCTGAATTCCACCAGAAAGCAAAGGGATTCTTGGTGATTATAAACAAGAAATACTATTTAATATTTTTTGACATATGTATGGTTTTCCCTTTCCAACCTAAAGACTGCATTCTTATATACTATTAAAAGTAATCTCCACTGAATATGCATTTAATAAAGATTTGCTGTAGTTCAAATAATGTAAGGAAATCTGAAGCTATTTTCCATGCTCTTCTCCAATTGTGAAATACACTGAAGTTATCCAAATAGATTAATAAATAAAATGTCAATGTCTGCATGGTTATAAAATACTTGACAGCATGTGGTTTTTATAAAGCATGGCTATGTATTAGGCTTTGGGTGATACATCCATATGAAATCTGAGTTCAGACATTCTGCATAAGAATACATCTTATTCTTCAAGTGCTAATCTTTTGTTGCATGTTGAACAGTATATTTCTTCTGATAAATGTTGAGAAAGATATTGTGAGAGAAATTGATAAATTGTGTTTGGAAAGCCAGCATTGTGATTGAATTAACATAAATATCTGTTCTCCTTGATGTTCTACCTGACAAAATAGTACAACTTGTAAAATTACTACTCCCAAGAAAAATGTGCAATTAGGAAACAGACCTGCACTATTTTTTTTTTTTTTACAAAGATGGGTTTTGCAATAGTTATAATACCTTTAGATGGAGATGGACGTGATATTTCCCAGAGCCAAGAACAAAATGGAGAGAGAGGAAATGTGTGGAATCGGAAATATATTGTACTTAGAATACTTGAAAATATTATACATTACTGGCATCAGATGTTAATGGGGCTGGCAATAAAAGAATAAAGAAAACAAAATTGATAGTATTATAGAAATGCTTAACAACCTGAAAACCAACTCATTCTGAGTTATTCTTTTTTCCCTATTATCTTTATGCCTAATAAGTAGTTACTTGGGTAATATACTTGCCAGAGTTATAATAGTTCAGATTTTGTTTGTGTACAACAACTTTATGGAACAAGGATGCATAATTTACATCCTTCAGAAAACAGTTTCCACTTTGTGTTGAGATATATTTATATTTCTTCTAGATCAGTGGTTCTCAACCTGTGGGTCGGGACCCCATTTGGGGTCGAACGACCATTTCACGGGGGTCGCCAAACAAGGCTGTCCACCATTTTTTCCCCTTTTTCTTTGGCCACGCCCCTGACACCCGGTGATGTATAAGTGGTTGGGGGTCACCACAACATGGGGAACTGTATTATGGGGTCGCGGCATTAGAAAGGTTGAGAACCACTGTTCTAGATGCAGTTCAAGTTTCTGGTTGTCATCTTTAAAACCTTTCAGGGCTTTGGACCTGGGTATATCTGGGATTGCCTACTTCTGATTATATCTGCCCACCCAATGACTTCTCCCTTCCTTCATCTATGAAATTGCATTCACATTCTGTTGATTTTATAGAGGATTTTAAAAACTGCTACATCATCAGGATAGAGGAATGTTATGAGTTTGTTTTGTCTTGGAGTATGGTTGCAATTGTTATTGACGAATGATATAATTACTTGGTGAATAGATAAGATGATTTTTTTTGTTTTTTTTCTCTATTTTTATGTATTTTTTAATCCTATTTACAAATGAGGGAATATAAGCCATGCAGAGTTGATAACAATTGGAATAGCACATCAGCCTAAATCAGGGGTGTCAAACTGCCGGCCCATGGATTTCATCATACCGAAGCTGTACCCACCCCATTGCCGGCAATGCAAAAAGAGTCATGATACGTCGCGACACATCACGTGAGGTGGCGAGTTTGACACCCATGGCCTAAATAAAGTAATAAATGGATAAGTGAATAAGTAAAAAATATATTCAGGTTAGTGTGTGTCTGAGTAACACTACTTTTAACAAGAGAAAGATGTTTAAATCATATTTATATTCTGTATCATTAATGCATAGTAACAATGGTACAAAGGAAATTGCTATGCTGATGTTCTGTATATTATATGCTGGAGAAATAGAAGGCTTAAAGGAAGACATTAAGGTAGTTGTATCATGATTTGTATTACGTGGTTAGGAAAGGCAAGAATATTTTCTAGTACCAGTAGGCTTAACAGTAATTCTAAAACATGGATATTAGCCAGATGCACTGCAGCTTTGAGATATTACAATCAGTGGAAGTGTGTATTTCCCAGCAAACTTACAGATAAGAAACCGCAATGATTATAGTTGCTATAATAATCTGTGTTCATTTGGAGGTACATTAGTTCTTTCAACTTAACATAATGAATAAAATGTTTTCTGCAGTGGCAGCATGAAGGGGAAGGATGCTTTAACTGATTTAAAATTAATCTAGATTTGGGAGACACATTTTCATTCTACATTCTAGATAATTTAATTAAGAATTGATTTAAATATTATTTATTTTATTGCTTGCTTTAATACATATGCTGGATTGCTTGTAGTATGAGTTAATGACAGGACAGTTTCCGGACAATTACTGAACTTATGCCTCACTTCAAATTAAATTCCAAAAGGTGCTTTCTTTGGTTGCCATGTGAACCTGGCAGAAGGCCCAGCTGTTTTAAAAAGTTGCAGACATGTTTATGCTCCAGCATCCTCCAAAGCATTTTTAAAGAATCAAATCAGAAATGCTACACAGCCCTAATAATGAAAAGTCTTCCTACACTATATTATGAATGCAAACAATACTTACAGATACTCATAGCGTAGCATATTTGGTGTGTAGGCCTGGAATTATTGAGAACCAGAATCTATACCATTTTCTTTCTATGAATGTTTTGAGGGTGATGATATTAATGTTATAATGAATAGAAAAACCACAAGTTAAAAGAGAATACAGTGAATACAAGTTTTATTTGCTTGCATTGCCCATATCAATCCTCTTCCCAATGTGACCACCTTGTATTTCCAAATTACAGCAGTTAAGTAATGGAATAGATTTATTTGTTAGTCTGTTCTGACTTATGTTAACAAGAACTATGGCATGCCATATGAAATCAGTATATGCTGCATTATAATGAATTCTTCTTGGGTATGTAATGCATCCTGCATGGAGGATAGTAATTAAAGTACCTCATAAAGGCTAGTTTCAGGATGGATAATAATGATTTTTTTAAAAAATAAAAAAATCAGATATTTTTTATTTAAATTGGATTTTTTTATTTTTATCAAATGTATTTTAATAAAATACTTTTGGAGTAAAAATCTATCTAAATATTCTATTTAAGATACATTAATAATTTAGTAGTTTATTCAGCATGAAATGGAGCTTGGTTATGTAGCATGAGGTTGTATATTCTGCAATATTTACATTTTTTATAAACTCGTTCAATGAATTCAAGCTCTGCAAGCTGAGATAACATGCACTGCATTGATGCATTCACACAATTTCATAATAACCATGAGATAAATCATAAAACAAAGTTCCAGAATATTCCTTTATCCCATTTTTTTTGCAAGTGTATGTATATTACAAACTGTATGATTGTTTGAAGAGAAATGCATCTGTACCAGGCTCTAAGTGTTTTAATTAAATAAAAGAATTTGAGTAGTTTTCCAACTATGTGTGATTAACCTATTAACCTAAAATTGGTTCTGATATCACTGTTTTACTAACATGACAGCTTATTATTCTAAATAGAAAACTATCATTTTATTTGCAAATAATATTAAAGATACTAACTACCATCAAGAATGAGTCCTTACATTTAAAGAGCACCTGTCATTTCAGATCCATCATGGCAGCACCTGTTAGCGGGCATCCACTCACCTGCTGCCCGCCACATCCCTTACCGTGTTGTGTCACTGCGGCATCACCAGCTGTTCCATTAAAGTGAATGGGACTGTCGGTGAGTCAACAGCGGGTCAGAGGAGGGGTCACTGTGGGACAGAGATGACAGTTGCTTTTTAAAAATTATAATTTAAATCGAGTTGATTTAAATCAAGCCTTTTTACTAGTGACTTAAATCATGATTTTAATCGTCTTGATTTAAATCAAATCCATTCTGGCTAGTTTCAAGTTACATCTACCAATACTTTATTGATTTCAATTCTGAGTTGTTTCTTGTCCCTTAAGTATTTGACTTAAGAAGCTAAATGAGCTCTTATTGGTAGATCTGTCTCTTTTTGCCCTTATTAATTAAAAATGGGATGATGTTTTATACTGGGGAGTATGTTACATTATTGTTACTATTTTGGATGTCTTATTTTTACAGTCAGTGCTTCACTCTGTACATTATATTAAGTTGCTGAAGAATTTTTTGCTTGTTTGTTTTGGCTTTAATCCCCTTCGTGTCATCAGAGTCACTGTTGCGGAACTGACAGTTATTTAAAATGGTTAAGTAAATAAATTTTTAAAACTCTTACAATCTTAGTATACAGGTATAATATATCACTTCCTCTTCAATCTTGGATTCCAATTCAGCTAGGATTTTTAACAGAGAATATAATAAGTAACAATACTGCCTTTAACACCCTCAAACAACATCTGCCTATCGCAGGTCCTTGAGAAGAACTCGAAAGATGGCTAAAAATGCCGAATCCTGTCTAAATATCTGACTATGCAACCAATAAAAAATAATTACATAACACAGTCGCCAAAATGATTAAATGGGACATATGTAAAGATTATTATGTGCCAGTAATGAAAAATTGGTAGGAATATAGAATTGAAAAAGTTGTTGAAAATGAGGAGATTAAAATACTGTGGGATTTCCAAATACAAACTGATAAAATCTTTGTTCATAAAACACCAGATTTAACTCTGATTGAAAAGAAGATAATTGATGCAGCAATACAAACAGATAGTAGAAGAGAAAACAGAATTGGAGAAGATCACAAAGTACCAAGATCTGAAAATCAAAGTGGAAAGATAATGATATAAGCAGGCCCTGATGGTCCTAGTGGTTATTGACATACTGGGTGCCATACAAAAAAATTTTGGATGACACTTAGAGAATCTGTGCATTGACAAAATTTCCTTCTGTCAATTACATACAAAAGGCCACATTACTTGGATCCATGCTATACTATGCTGGTATATTACAACATCCTAAATTCTTAAGAAGAACTCACTGCACACAAATACCAATACTAACTAAAGAACTGGCAGTTGTGATAATAATCATTCAGCATTGACAAAAATCACAATCAGTAGATTTCAAAGGCAGCTTTATTTGAAACAGTTTACATCTTGCCATCATACTTTAGCATGAACAAACAATATCTGCCTAATCCAGATCCTTTAGCCAAATCCAGTCTAAATATCTGGCTGACTATGCAATGAACCTTCATATGATTCAATTTTCATATGGATATTTAAATGCAGCTTTCATGGACACTGTAAATTTATTATATTTCCAGTAATGAAAGATTGCTTTGTGATAGAAATTGAATACTTTGGTAAAGGAATTTTTCTACCTTTTGTATCACTCATTTTCTCCTTCCCCAGTATTGTTCATTTCACATACATGTGCATGTGGAAATGTGCAAAATTCTGTGTTTTGTTCATTTCCACCTTCCCATGAATGTATCTTAATTATGAAATACGTCTTTTCTATATGTTAAAGAAATTTGAAAAAATATATCTAATGTTTGTGTCTTCTTATAAATAACACAATAAAATAATGTATTATTTGTTATAATTGACAGTTTCTTGAATATATATTATTCTGGAAAGTACGATCCAGAAAATGTCATCCTGTATTCTACTAAGAGATTCTTCTCTAAAGGGCAACTTTTATCTTTATTTTATCTTTTATCGTTATTTGAGTTCTGCAATGATCAGAACTCAAAAAAGTTCAAATCTCAGATTATTATATGTACAATTCTTTCAAATTGATGGATATTTCATTGCTGTATCATTTAATTTTTTCCCCTCACTGATATCTTCCCATGCAACTTTGGATGGAGGAAAATCTAGTAAGTTCAATGGCCTCTGGGATCCCATTAATTTTTTTCTTCTAGTTTTATAAATGTAATTTGCTTTTCCAGTTAGTATTCGGGATATGCTAGTACTGGCAATTCCTAATAAGAATAAAACTGATAAAATGATGCAGCCTGGTGGTCAGTATTATTCAGAAGAATAGATAGATTAGTATTTTAAATTACGTGGTTGTACCTGTTTGATAGATTATGTGCTATCATGTTGGTGTCCACTTTTATCATTCACACAGACTGTTATTCTCTAGACGATCTGTCCCCAATTTGGACCTTCAAGACTTCCAGTGATGCACCCATTTCAACTGTACTGTCCATCTACCTTGCTGGTGGGCAATCCCCTCCTTCTGATTATACTACACTCCGATATGTAGGTTTAGATCAGTGGTTCTCAACCTGTGGGTCGGGACCCCATTTGGGGTCGAATGACCATTTCACGGAGGTCACCAAACAACGCAGTCCACCATTTCCCCCCCCTTTTCCTTAGCTGTGCTACTCCCTTTTATTCTGTTGGCTTTTGAAAGCCAATAGAATAGACTCCCTGAATAGAGTCTAATTCTATTGGCCTTCAGAAGCTAATGGGAATTGTCCAGGCTGTCTCTGCCCTGCTGAGCCGCCAAAAGTCCCATTCTGCAAACGATGCGGCACCAGTTGAGTAGTCCTCGACTTACGACCGGTTGAGTAGTCCTCGACCTACGACCAGTTGGGGGGTCGCAGCATTAAAAAGGTTGAGAACCACTGGTTTAGATCATTTTCTTATAAACTAATGAACATTTTTGACTCATTAATTGGGTTATCTTTATTTAGTTTTAGATCATGTGGAAAATCAGATCACATTTTAGGTCATACTTATGCAGAAATTCAATTTAAAATTCAATTTAAAAACCTTTAAGAGCAATTGTATGCTTAAAATTCATGGAACCAAGAGATTTTTTTTCATGTATTATGTTAACTATGGCTTTTTAGTTGGGGGGAAAGGGAGGAAAGAAGGAAGAAAAGAAAAAGAGACAAAGATAAAGAAAGGAGAGAGAGAGAGAGAGAGAGAGAGAGAGAGAGAGAGAGATAATATGGAAACTTTGATCAACAACTCAGAAGTGTGTTGGTTGTGTGTATGTATAGTCCTTGCCTTGGTACAGGTGTTTTACAGTCCATAAAGTACTTCCAGCCATCACAAAATATCCCTTCCCCTGCCCTGGTCATTCGGCTGCATTGACATTGGAGAATTGACAACTGGTTTGCCTTTACAACTGGTTGCAGTATGTTGCAGTCACCTGACCACAGTTTGCAACTTTTTTGCTGGTGTCTACTTGATTTTCTTAACAGTGGTTAACAACCCCTGTAAAACATGTCAAAAGGCTAAGTCTAGTCACATGAATGTCTCAATTTATGACCGCAACAACTTATGACAGGATTTCTGTTCCACTTCTGATCATAAGAAAGGATCTTATATGTCCATATACTGAACAATATACTTACATTGATGGTTGAATTAGGGAAATTTTACAATTCACAAACCAAAATGAGGCAGCTAAGATAAAACATGCTAAAGAAATAAGTAAAATTCATACATATAGAACAGTCATGTCAAACTCGTGACGTCGCATGACGTCTCAGAACTTTTTTCCCATTGCACAGCAATGGGGTGGGTGTGGTTTTGTCGTGACACGACCAGCCCATGGGCCGGCAGTTTGGCACCCCTGAGTGTAGGGGGAAATCTGTCTCCACTTAGCTCTTAGGAATGTTCTCTATTCCCCATCCCCTTGGTGGATTTGCACACGTTAGATGTAGTGTTCGACTTCAGCTCTTAAGTAGTTTCTTCAACAGTGTTTTTAAGGCTCAAGCAAGGCTTATGAAACATTTCTTATGTGAAATATGTTTGATTTATTTTAGAGCATGCTAGCCATTCAGTTAAGTAATATTATTTTAAAAAACCAGGAGCTAGGTGATTAGCAATACCAAAAAAAGATTCTCATTGAAACTACAGTATATTGAAGAAACCAGAGCTAGTGCTTAGCATGAATCAGTTATGTGTCCAATAATAGCAAACAGCTTCTGCAATATAACAGCCTGAAAGATTAACTTAGCAGAAAGTATGCTATGGAAATTTTTCTCAAATAAAAAGTTCAAATTATTTATTCAGGGTTCTTCTTTTAATGGAGAATGTGCATAGCCATGATCTGTTTCTCATTCAGAGATTACCTAATCTAATTGTGCTGAAGGAAAAATAGTTCAGATAATGTAAAATGATTCAAGGAAAATATATATTTTTTTACATAAGAAGATACTAACACATGTATTCTTTATTAGCATCATACAAGTAGTCCTCAACTTACAACTGCAATTGAGACTGGGTTTTTGGTCATACCTCTTGTCTTTGCAGTCATAAATCAAGGCACACATGACTGGACTTGATTTTATGATATTTTTTGCTGTGATTCTGAAGTGAATCTCCATGGTTATTAAGTGAATCTATGGTTGTAAGTGCAAACCCATTTTACCAAATGAGTGTTTTGTGCTGGAAACGGGCAAAAAGACATTGTAAATCATGGTCACATGACTGTGGGATGCTGCAACTGGTCCTAAAGGTGAATAGGTTATCAAGCACTTGAAATGCAGCAGGAGTGGCACAACATTTTACAACAATAGAAGTGCTTTATGAGCTATAAAATAATCATTCCAGAGAGGCTGTAATTTTAAAGGGTTGTTAAGCAACCAGTCATAATTGAGGATTACATAAAATTATTTATTAGCAACCTAAGTATTTATGCTAATGTTTTATCTCAGTAATATAAAAATAATCATTTGATAATTTTTATTAGTTTTTCTTTCTTTTGCGAGCACATAAAACATTTTACTATTTTTAAAAATTAATGAAATTTTTGCTTATTTAGGCTTTCAATATTTTTGACAG